TCAAGGTGTAAATGTATATAAGACAGAAAAATATTTACAAATGTAATAGATTCTCACTATACACACACATATATATATATATATATATATATATATATATATATATATATTATATAATATATATATATATATATATATATATATATATATAAGTATATATTTAAGTGTTTGAATTGTTTTTAAATTGTTTGTATATTCTACAGGGCACACTGTTTGGCTGTTTAGTTTAGTAGTTTAGTTTGATACCCCCACACAACATAAATGATAGCACTGACGTGTCTCTCAAGATCTCTCAGTTCAAAATTGGCCAGCATCACTAAGGCTGCATGAAATCCTTCAAAATTGTGATCATCAACGAATGACAGGAAAACCTTTTTTCCTTCTGTGCAACAGGTCATAGACAGGCATATGCCCCATCACACGCGCTCACACACGCGCGCGCAGACACACGCGCGACCTGTTGTGTTGCTTCAGTGCCGCTTGGTCACATCTCCTAGGTCTTATTTTGCCTATTATCAACAGCAAACCAAAAACCTTAATAAACCCTACTTGGCCGCACCCAGAACAATTCTAGGCAAAAAATCACGTCAAGTGGGCTCCCGTGCGTGTCGTCACCCGCAGTGGCCCCTCCCCCGCTCGTCTCCTCCGGCCAGGAGACGTATATAAACACAGTGACCCATCTACCCAGTAACATCACCGCCAGTGTTACGTGAAAGAGGGATGGGGCGGGCTCTAGGGAGCAGATTGTGGCTGATTTCTGAAGAAGAAAAAAGCAGTGACAGCAGCACAGCTTCGACTACTCCTCAAGCAGCATTACCCCGGATTCACCTGTTGTTCATCCTTTAACGGTGAGTCTACCACTGAGATGCAATGCTACGAGCTGCATTATAGTGGTAGCCTGCATAGCAATAGAGTACAATATGCATTTCTTTGCCTACCTGTCTTTTCCTCCACTTCTGGAGAAGTATCAAAGAAACAGGCCTATGACAAGCATTTGCTATAAAGTGGAATATAGAAATAAAAATAATGCTACTGGTATTTGATAGAAAAGAAATTATTCTCGCGCTCCGCTTCCTGCCTCGCCCGAGCTAAATGTTTATCGTGTCGTCACGTTGCTCTGATTACGACCAAAAATGAGAAAATAGTAGCTCCATAGTCATCATTTATGTTACATTTCATTGTGTGTGCAATATATTAGAATTCTCGTCATTTATAACCTTGTGAGACCAAACTTCAGTGTAGCAACAGGTGGCATGTTTTTTTTTTTCTTCTCCCAGGCCGGAATCGAGGCGAGATTCAGAGAGACGTGGCGAAAAGTAGGGCGTCATTCAGCACCGAGGGACGCTGGACAGCTCCCACGACCAGTTTTTTCCCCTCTAGTGGCCCTAGTTGTACTAAAAGAATAATAGAAAAATAGCAATAACATAAAATTTACAATTATGTATTTAGTATTATGTTGTACATATATAAAGCTTTATACACCATTGTACTAACTCAAATGTAAAGATGTGGATAGGCAAGTGAATGTCTGTGGTATCTACTGTTCTGGGGTCACTTCTTGGTCAAAACGTACCCCCTATAATCATCTTTCCACTTGTCTCCTGTTGAAGACCCTTCCCTCCTTGCTCCCTCGCTTCCTCTCTCTAAACTGTCCCCTTATTCCTATCCCATCCCCCCTCTTTCCACTGACTCCAGTCTTGTTGCATAGCTACCAGCTCATACTGGAGACGCAGGACAGCCATCTCTCTCCAGTCCAAATGTGACTTATTGGAAAGACAACACAAATTATCCAGATGATGGTTATACATTTAAATTATGTGTTTTTTCACAGTCAAATTGAGCATAATTACAAATTGTGCACAGCTTATTGTGACAGCTTTTTGTTCATTGCATATGGTTTATTCTAAGAGCTGTGGCTGTGATCCGCACTCTCTCGCTCCCCTCCTCCTGCCATCTCCAGCTTTTGAGAGCATTTGAAAGGTTGGCATTACAACAACAAAGGAAGGATGGAATGTCAACATGCTTCACAGAAAAAAACACAGAGATGGGAACTGCGTGAAAATTTCAGTTCAGCTAAAGCCTACCTGGGATGCTTTAGTCAAACACCTGTGCCACATCTGGAGACCCTCAGAAACTCTGCACTCATGTAACGGTGTAGGATGGTGAACTTTAATAATAATGCAAGAACAATCTTTTCTGCTTCCATTACAGACTGAATGCACTCATGGCCCAAAAGGAGATATGTTGGTAGAGCTGAGTGGAAGACTAGTGATTTTGTTGTGATGCTGATCAAATAACAACAAATCCCAGTCTGCCTCTGAGCACAAACAGTTTTCATCAGTCTACGTGTGTTCATACCACGTCCTTCAATGTTATGTGGCTCTTCCAGTATACTAAAAGATGCATTCACGGACTCACAAGCTTATCCTGTATCTTAGGTCGTGTAGATCAGGATCAGTAGTATTCAGTGCAATACAGATATGATGAAGTGTTTGTTTTTTCGTGAAATGTAAGCTGATAATGCCAATGTCTATTGTACCTATGTGCTTGTTTACTTTTTACTGAGGCAAATAAACACAATAAATACAAGACATAAGATATTCTTAATCGGTTTATTTTTTTTGCATATCAGTAGTGTCAATACCTCTCATTAATGGACAGCAAATTATATGTTAGTCAAAATCATGCATATCCAGGGTATTTCCAGTCCCAAGTTTGAACCAATATCAGAATCACGCAATCTTACAAGGTCAATGATATGATTTGTCCAGTCAAAAGGTGAAAACCGCAAAGAAGAAATGGACTCTCAGATGAGATGCCCTTCATGGGGAGACTGCCCAGGTTTAATGTCTGAGTGTGCAATAGTAATTTTCTTCTAGTACTTGGTTCAGCTTTGAAAGACCAATATTGTTCAAAGAGATATTCTTTCCCTAATGTGGGTGTTGAAGAGGCTGAAGGTCTCTTTGTGAAAGGCAGGATAAACTTGTTGTGCACAGAACCTTATGAATGGTAGTACATGACAATTATTTAATATCCAAATATAGAAGGGTTAATAAGGTTTCTATACAAAAGCAGAGATGCGGTGAATCACTCTGAATGTAGTGGTGGTGTAAGGGCCTCAGCGGGAACAGAAATAATTAGGAATCATACAAATGCTAACCATCTTCCAGTGTAGTTTCTGCTCCAATTTAGTTTGCCATGACTATGAGTGCATCTACCCTTTTCTAATATTTCATTTATTTCTTTGCAAATAGACCTGGACAAATAAATAAGAAGGCCACTATCACTGAAAAGTCTGAGAGCAAAGTAGACTCGCTGTAGACACTCTTGTCAGAGAAATAAAAAAACCTGAGAAATAGGACTCAAAGGTAAGTTGAATAAAAAGTCAAGTTTTAATGACACTTTGTGCGTAAAAACTGATATGGTACATAGTAATACATATGCATAAATAGCAAAATACAACTCAACTATAAAAAATAAAATTACAGATTTCAATTCAATCATTGGGCTTTTGATAAATGCTGTGATTCTTAATTAGACATGCCTGATGACTGCTCTCATTCTCTGCTCCCTGCAAGTCTAAGATTGGCAGCCTGCAGCTTTTTCATATAAGACCAGGGGCTGGTATGTGTTGCTAAGCAACACAAAAGAGTCAAGTGCATTTGTTTATTGGCCACCAACTCAAGATAGAGTTTCAAACTTCAGCTGAGGGTCCTTGTATTGTAGTTTTGTTTATTAGTTTATTCATATGGTTTATTTACATTGATTTCATTGGCATTGTCTACAGTGTGCATTGTATGAACCAGATAGGTGTATATATTGATCACATTGTGAAATATACTAATTAGGCAGACTCACCACAAAAAGGCATTATAAAATACTATTTTGCAGGATGAAGGATCACAGTAACAAGTGGCAGGCACATGCCCTTCTCATCTGTGCTTCGGCTCACTGCATCAGAACTATGTGATGACCTTGTAAGCAGAGCTTGATACAGTCATACATAGGCTAGTCGAGCCTTTTCTAATGTCTGAACAATACAAGCTTTGCCAAGAAACAGATGGTTTTAAAAACTGAAGATACAGATGCATGTGTAAAGGAAGAAGTGCACAACAGGTGACAAACTGCAACAGACAGTGCAGGCCTAATATAATGGACGTATTCCCTCGTTGTTGTTACTGACTGGGCATCAAGCCTAGTATTATGGTATGCCAACTGTTCTCCCATGTCTGAGTTGGCAGCCGTTTCCAGCACCCGGCCCCTCAGTGTGACTGCAAGTGTTGTCACAAAGGGCAAAGATGGTGAGCGAACATGTCTGTCTCATACAAGCATAACCACTATGACAATTAAAATCAAGTCATCCTCTGATTAAAGTCGATGTGTTTTTGCAATTATATATATTCTATATTATTTCTCATTCTGCCAGCGGTTCACTTTTTGTGACCCAGACCAACTCAGTTTCTATACTGTGCCAGTAGGTGTCACCATCTCCTTCCCCAGTGGGATTACAATACGACCTGCACATGTAATAGTACCTCAATTCAGCATGTGTTCAAGTTTTACTAAGCATTACTGGGAAACATGGTGAAATATGTTATACTTTTAGGACATATTAAAAGAGTGAAATATAATACACTTTTTAAAAATGTGAAAACTGGGAAAAGTATTTAGAATTTAAATGTTGACAGTTTGCTCATGTGAATAAAGTACCAGAAGTTGAGGCTGAAATTCAGACTTCTTGAGTCAGTATTATACTCACTTTTACACTGCTTTTTGTACAAGAACATCCATATTTCCCATTTTTGTCACTGACCTTGGCATTCAAGTGACTCAATCAGATTTGAGCCACTTGGAAAAACTATCCTTTGAGACCTCCAGACACAACTGTTCAAATGCTTCACAAACTTTAAGTGAGAAATATGTGCATTGTGTGGGGTGCTGTTAATTTAAAGCTAGTCACCAGAAGAATACACACAGAAATCATGCTGACATGGGACAAATCACTTGACAATAACTCAGAAACACACATTTTAAACATCTCTTTTTACAGACATAAAAATGTTTGGGATAATATTTACAAAATGAAACATGTAAGTCACAAATATTGAGGCCTCTATATATCATTATATTACATTTTTAAATTTTGGCAAGAAATTCAATTCAAAAAGCAAAAGGTTTGAAGCCAATTAAAACCTCATGAAATAGCATTAGCAAGTAGCACAAACACCAGCAAAGTAACCTTAGTACACGTTTAAAATAATAATGCAATGTAAGAAGTTGTCTTTTACATAAAATTAAGATATGCAAGTAGGTGCTACATTGGTAAGATGGGACTGTTTTGTTTATCCTTACATAGTTTAAAAATTATATTATATTTAATAGCAAAATTACTTCACTGCATACATGATTTTTATATAACCAATTAAAGGACTAATAGATGACACACAGAAAGCCATAGTTTATCCTACAGCACACACATATTTTTAGCTAAAATAAATATAACGGATATATAAAATTGACATTTGTTTGACAGTCTTACACAAACTTTAAGTTTGAAATTTGACAGATAACAATGAATCAAAAGAAATGTCTGGCCCCATTCACTTGCTATACACAGCTGGTGTCAGACCTGATTTACATACATTAAGAGCTTAAGTTGGGTTGATTTGACAACATTTGAATAAATGGTCTTTCGTCTTGTCATGTTTATGTGGGCTTTTAATCCATAGCGGTGGCTCCTCATGAAATGTATTAACACTAAGACAGGTAACGACTGGTCAGGACCAATATTGTTCAGTTTTAGGTGGTCTTCACCAGATCGTAGACGTGGATATGTACGTCATCATCATATTTGATGTAGTAGACGGTAGGTTTGGCAGGAACTTGGTAGATCACCAAACCGGTTCTCTTCAGACCGTTATCTGTGACATACTCCACCTGCTTACCCACAAGGCTCTCTGGCTCCTCCCCAGGTTTCCTGTCTGCTGGAAGCAAGTGCTTATTTTCTGTGAAAAAAAAAAAATGTTAATACTGCTCAAAGGTGAGGTACAAAATAAGAATATACATTTGCTGCTGAAATAAAACTTGTCATACCGGATTCTGGTAACACGCGCAAATCTCCATCTTTGTAATCATCCCAAAGTTGGTACATGTACAGCACTGGGTCCTTCTCATAGGTGATGTAATACCAGTGAGTCATAATGGGTGCTCTGGACAGGACCATTCCTCTCCATTCGTTCTTTTCGCCATCCTCCTTCTCAAACAGATGCTCTACTGCACGACCCACCAGCTCCTCTGCCCCAGGTGGTACCTTTATTTTATTGTTCACTATGGGAATGATTTGCCATAGAATCAGTTGAATCAATAGCAACAGAACACACACAAAACTAAAGCTCTGGATACTTAATAACATTTAACTCACCAACTTTTTCTGTAAGCACCTGCAGGTTTGATACACGTCCATCTTTAAACAACTCAATGCCATAGACACAATCAAAGCCATCGTATTTCACCATGTAGAGAGAGTTGTTGACTGTAAGTCGCTCAAGCACGGTACCCTTCCACTTGGTCACATTGCCCTTTTCTCTCCAAGTGTGTTGGATTCTGCGACCCAGAAGGTTGTCCGGGTCTGGGCTCAGAGTTGAAGCTGAGCTCTCACTCAGCTCACCACTGCTACGCTTCCTAAAATAGTAAAACATAAAATGACAAAGGTGGTTAAAAAAAAAAAAATCTGTATTCAAGAAACAAAACTGGCTATAATATACATAGACAGCACTTTTAAGTTGTACTAAATGTTAACTAGTCGAACTGAGTGGGAACCATATGGTAAGAACCTACCTGGCCCGTTTTTTTGACATGTTCCCATAAATTCACAGCACTGAAGAAAAAAAAACATGCAAAATGTTTATAATACATAAAGACAAACAGCGAAAACAATAATGCCTATTTTATCAACATAATACATATACAATAACCAATGTTGAGTTTACAAAACCAATAGGAGTGGGAATTAACTAAACGTTCCTGTAACCGGATGTAAACAAATTTACTCGAGCTAACTTACATGCTAATGCTAAGTGCTACTCGCTAACATAGCCTACTTCAGGTTACACATTTATAGCTCCAAATAACTATGCGGCCAATAACTGTAACTCCAAGCAGGGAGACAAGCTAATTTAGAACTGTAAAGTTAAGTTAGACAAGAAATGCATAAAACACATATTTCACAGCACAAACCTTACCAGATATGCACAAATATAATAACAATTACGGGCTTTTGGTCAGGGTCCGTTTTGACAGAAAAAAACCCCAAAGAATGTGGGTGCTGCATTTGTAGACATTAGCTAGCCGAACAAAAGAAAACGCATCGCCATGTAGACGCTTATTTTGTAGCAGTGTACATTTCACGTTCACGGAAAAATGTAAAACTGACAAAAATATATAATGCATTTTCACATGTATTAAAGAACCGAGACAACCGGAATCAGCTGTTTATCCTACCTGATCAATTATTTCACATGTGTTTGTCTTTGCAGAGCAGATTCCATTACCAGAAGCCTGTGGACACGGAAATGATGAGCCTTGGACTACAACTACCAGCAGCACCCTTGTGCCACAAAGCATGATGGGACATAAAGGTAGTTGTTTGTTTTTTTTTTTTTTTTTTTTTTTTTTCCCCCACCTTAATTTTATAACGTATATCTCTAAGGATCATGCATCTAGAGTATGCACACAGTGCAGTTTACCTGCTTTCTGTGCACTTGATCAAAGAAAACGATGTAAAGTAATGGCCAGCGACATCTTTTTTGTTTATTGCTACTAAGATTTTGGATGAAACAAAAAGATTTGACCCATATTAGCCTAAATATTATTTAACAACTTTATAACTTGCTTTTTGTGATTTAATACATGTAAGTGTAGTGTGGTCAAAATAGTGCATTAAAAATACTTAAATATGTGCTTAGACCTTTCTCGCATGCCCGTTTCAACCACAAGATGTCCCACCAAACCCAGCTCTTCTCTGTTTCCAGTCAGTTTTTTGATGATGGACCGGACTGTGTGAGGAAAGAGTGATGCAGTACCTTTGGGTGCCTGTCTGTCAGGGTGAAAGCTTTGGTTTTATCTTGTGCCAGATCACCTGCTGCATGAATGATTCATCTGCAATGGGGATAAAGCTAGTGTGGTGTGTACTGTGTCTCTTTGAATATTCAGGTTCCAAATTAGGCTGTGTATAGCAAATAACCTATTTGATTTGTTATTCATTACACAAGCAGCTGAAACATATAGTGTTTCACTGCTGTTTGTTTCCTTATCTATTTTTTCAAATAAGTTTGTCCTTTTGATTTGTTTCATCTGGAAACTGTTAGTTTAACTTTAGGCTTTTGGGAGATCAGACCTGCCATTATTAATTATATTAATTTAATAATTTGACTGGAGAGAAGTGTTGTTTTTTATGTAATTTAAACACCTAGGCTACAGATCTCTTCAATAAAAAAAAGTGTTGCAATGGTTGAAAACAGCCCAACATCCAAGGTTTCCTCCTCTTGTCCATGTTGTCACAGCAACAGAAACCTGCATGTACAAGAGTATTAAAAGAATGATTAGACTCAAAATTTAGCTGTGCAGTTAATCAGTGCAAATTTGTCACATTTACATGATGTTTTGCTTTGCCCTATCTAACTTGAGTTAATCAGAATATTTTCTTATATGTGAGAGTCATCTGTGTCTACTTACTTGGGCAGGTTTCTTTTACTCTATCATCTGAGAAGGCAAACCCACTGTGGCCCAGTCTCTGGGGATGTCATGAGAATACTGTCTCCAGAAATAGAGGTCTTGTTCCATACTCTGCCAGGTATTTATCACTCTTATGCATTACAGGACAAGAACCCATGCACTAATTGAACACAAAGAATAGCACTGAGCTAAAAAATCTGTTTTTGTGAAGTATTGCAAGGAGACCACAAAGAAGGCTGATGAACAAAGTCATTCCAAGGTTAGTGCGTGAGTGTCCATTGATTAGATATCTCTATTATTAGAAACTTCCCTATGCAACCTGAACTATATAATAGGTTGAAAGGGATGCTGCATCATAGCAGTAGACTTAATCTGATGATGTACTACAGAAATGAATAGCTACTATTGCTAAAAGAGGTACCTGTTTTAATGTTTTCTATGTTGAACCTGAGTTAGAATTAACATTTGCTTTGTGGACATCTTAAAACAGACACAACAGAAGTACCTCTGACATGCATAACAATATATGCACAAAATGTGTTTCATGTTGCTTTAGTTTATCAGAATATTTTGATTTAATAATAATAATCTAAGATGAAAGTTGACACTCATAAGTTTACAATTCATCAATTGCCTAATAAACCAGTTAAGGGTTTTCTGGGTACAGGCTCTTAATGTTGTGGTTGACCCTAAGTACTACCTTTGTCAGCGGATTGTGTATCCTGCAGGAAGTGAATAAAGCTTTGAAGTAAGGAAAGAGGGGGAAGGGGGGTCAGATATGTTTTTATTGGATCAGAGAAATCCCTAGCCATTCTTGTTTTCTCTCATTTAAAAATACACAGAGAAGAACATAGTGGAATATGCACTTACAATTATATTTTAATGTTATTGTCATGCTCAAGTGGTTTGGGCATTGTGAAGTATTCATTCAGTGCGGTAATAAGTAAATCCCTTTATTAATTGGGTTTTAGGAACATGGAGCTGTTACAGTCACAGTTAATTGACTTAACTATAATTAACTGTAGCATAGAATCTCTAAAAGCTTGTAGTCTCTCTTTCGTTGCCCTATGACTCATGCTCCTCTCACCGCAATTAACCAGTGTGACCATATGGAAGAAGTCTTTACTGTTCAATATATGGTTTAATATATGGAAGTCTATCTCCAGTCAGTTGTCTGTATAGTACATCTCTTTGGACTGTATGGCAGTAGTTTGCTTTATTTACTTCACATAAATATCTTCTACCATAGTCCTGTGCATATATAAACTGCAACATTGAGCCATAGGTGGGGGGGCAATGGCCATTTAGTTGCAGGAGTGACACAAAAATACAATGACAGTCTCACAGTCACTCACTATTTATTAGTGTGACCAAAATTTCAAAATAAAAAACTGGGACATCCCCATTTTTTTGGTGGGTGGCTGGTAATAATAAAACTGTGATACTAGAGTGTAATTAAGGGAAATTGTTATGCAAACTAATGTAAGTCAGTATGGTCACATTTTATTTGTGTTTTTTCTTCATTTCTATGCAGCTTTTCTGTATTTTACCTAAAGAAATTACAATTTATGCTTCTCTTTACTGTCAGCAGGTATTAAATTGGTTGAGAATAGGGACACCTTGGACATTTCTTGTATAAAACTGGGACAAATCAATGGTTTTGGATAAATCTGTTGAGACAGGGGTCACTGTACTATTGATAATTTGCAGTGCTGGGGGGTCTACATGTGTTTCTTTGGTGGAACTTTCCGTAGTTATCATGGTGATACAATGCACAATAATAGCAACAATAGCAGACACTGTCAGAAAAGTTCTACAATGTGATCAATACGAGGGTTCATGGTCCTGTTAAAGTGATTGATTTTTAACAAAAATCAATCAACCAACAACTGTTGGCTAATGCTAGTTAGCTTGTGACTGTAATTTGTGTGAGAGACAAGTCGGTTCACTTAGATTAGTTCCAGCTAAGTCAGTTCTTTACGATCATTTAGTGGTAAAATAACGCTCAGATTAATTTCTCAGACAGAGGGATGCCTACAGTTAGCATCTAAACCCCACAGAATGTTGAGGACATCAGCTGCAAAGAATCAATTAGCAAAGTCCATTCTTTTAATATGTCCCGAAAAATGAGAGGAATCCAGAGTCCCTCCTGAAACATAGAACATAGAGAGAATATAGACTCTTAGCTTGGCCACAATTGTCTGTTTATTATCTGTGGTCCAGGTCTTTGCAATACATTAGCAAGAGGCATTTCTGTCATACTGCCGTGGTTGGAAGGTTATTCAGGGCTATGCAACTACTGTATAAGGTCACTACCATACATATTACTCAAACAGACAGCTGCAGTTATGTTACTTTATGTGTATCTAATAATAGCAATAAAAGTAGACATAATTTTGGATGTAATGGTCTGTTTTGGCCCCTAACTCACCCTGTCAAGGACACTCTGCTCCCTGTTATTGATGGACGGAGTGTTGAAGATGCAATCTGACTCTGTCTACTTACTGGATCGGCTCATTCACGATGGCTGCCTCCACATGAAGCCGCAGATGAGCACTATGCTCTATGTTTCCCCACTGTGATAATACGCTGACAAATATATTGATCACAGCAACCCTCAAATCTGCCTGCTAACAGTGATTGCAACTGGGTGTTATCGCAGAAATCCCTCCCTCTTAGTACTATTTTACACTGGAGGACAGTAAAATTGTGAAAAAATAAAATATGTAGGCCTATTATGCAAGACATCAAAACCACTTTATAATTACTACATCCTATAGCCTTAACAAAGCACAAACAAACATAAAGAGAAGGTTCATTAAGAATAATCCAAGTTAAGTAACTCCTTAATTAAGAGGTTAGGAGTTAGAGCTAGGATATTAATTAAGTAGTTACTAAGCCTGAATAATTGTTAATAAACTATCTCATCATGATCATGTCTTTGTTACAGCATCATTGTGAAATGAATAATACACACCTTGTTAACTTGTGGGCAGTGTTGGGAAGGTTACTTTTAAAATGTAATCCCCTACAGATTACAGATTACACACCCCAAAATGTAGTTTGTAACGTAATCCATTAAATTACTTAAAGTGAGTAACGTAATCTGATTACTTTGGATTACTTGATATTGTCATGTTTTTTTAAACGACATGAATGTAGCAACCACATCCTGAAAATTCTTGTTTGTTGTCTTCAAATTGTCTGAGCCCAAGTCTCCATGAATAAGCAACTGTTTGCTGTAGATTTTATATTTGTTTTTTTTATATATATATATATCTCACATCGGGAGAAGAATTTCCAAGACACAAATGCGTTTTTACCAATGCACTGCTGCTTCCACTGTGTGGCTGACACCGCCAACTTTAACAAGCCGTTTACATCGCTCTTATTGCGCGCGTTCTGTTTGGGTTTCTGCCAATGAGTGGAATTACCGAAATAAAAAAAATAAATAAATGGGATGTAGCACAAAATGTGAAAACAGGAAAATACTGCCTTGTAATCCACTTATTTCAGCAAAGTAACTGTAATCCAATTACCACTCATTGAAATAGTAACTGTAACGGAATACAGTTACTCATAATTTGTACTCTGATTACATAACGGCGGTACATGTAATCCGTTACTCCCCAACACTGCTTGTGGGTGGTATATATTCTGCATAAATTATATTAGTGAGGAAACTATTGAGATGTATTGGATGTAGAGAACAGACTTGTCTTGAATTAAGCACTTAAAGAAGAGACTAATTTAATGGCGTGATTAGGGTGCCCTAATCATGCCACATACTCACCACTTCAATAAGGTGTTCTCAGTGTAAGAGACAAAAAGCGCAGCTCATTATAGTTTATTGTCGTACACATATCC